CTATATATAATAGTTGGCGTTATATAAAATAACTCTATATATCTGTTTTTTTTTTTAAGAATATGCATATTTTTGAAATTATTACATGTGTATAATTCTTTATATGTGTTATCTTTCTTTTGCTCATTTTTAGTCAGATTTTTTTTTTTAACAAAATACATTGCACGCTTTCGACGTACGAATCTGATACTTCCGAACATTATAATCATCATACGCATAATATATTTAACGTTGCAGCAATGTTGGTTTCAAAATTACTCATGGGACTATCTGGAGAAATAAATTTAATAGAACTCTCTTAGTCTAATACGTATATAGACATAACGAATTACCTTTAGAGATGTAGCCTAAAAAGTTTATTTAAATCTAAATCACAGACATGATAGTCGCAATATCAATAATCGCTAAATAGAATAGGATTTCCTGTTACTTTTTTGTACTCACTATTTATTATTCGTTATTTATTTATACCTATTCGTAGCAGTATGAGAAGGCGCACCTCTTACCAATTTCAGTGGTATGGCATTTCATACGCATCCCCGCTTATCTACACAAACGGTTCAACGATATATGTTTAGCTTGATTTGTCCTGAAATAACAAAAGCGCCCTTGCCAACGCATATGTCAATAATTCGACAATATTTTTTGTTTAATCTTGCTGCAAGATTAGGTCCTGAGAACTTATGTTGTATTTGTCTATTGTCTTGCTAATTATAAGTATGATTTTTTTCTATTATCCAAAGTAACATCGTATGGTTGACTGCCATATTGATCTTTATAAAATTTACATTCAAAAGAGAGTCTGAAATCCCTTTGATTTAAACTCTCGCACGTGATGAGCGAAAACGAGATAAAATGTGGAAAGGAAAGAAATGTTATTCACTGGAAGAATTTTTGAGATATTCTCAACGGCTATCTAAAGGATTAATAATTGAGAGGCTTATCTTTCGAATCTAACTAATATAATTAGATGTGAAAGATAAGTATTATATTATTTAATTAAGCATTAGCATGAGAAAATAATAGTGATACATAGGGGACTAGATAATTGACAATCGTATGAATAATTAAGAAAGGATCGATGAATCACACAAAAGATATGTAAGTATATACATTATTGTAGTTGCATGGAATATTATTAAAACTATTAATATTATTAACTATTATATTAAAACAGTGTAAAATTCGGGAATGTGGTAGCTTGTAAACTTATCCGTATAATCACATACAAGTACAGATCATTGTCATCTTATCAAAGTATCGAAAGGCTTCTTTCGAAAACGTTTTATATTTCTCCGACAAATTGGATGTTGTTCTTAACAAAAAAAAAAACCGTCTGACGATAGTGACGATTATCGTTATTTTAATATTTCCTCGACTTTCCAATCCCTAACGTCGCGTATTTTTGACTTTCATATCGTCTCGAACGAGACGCCGAGGAAAAATATGTTTTACCTGTTAAAGAGAATAATTCGGAATCTATTCTTCTTTTTCCCTCTTTCTTTACCAAGAACTACTGGCGACTCGCGGAGATATCTACCAAGTGATTTGACAAAACTTCCGTTAGGAATGTATAAACAGTGGTGGACGAAATGCGGCATCCCGAGACTTCCATTCGCTTCCACTCGCCCGGGGGTGAGTGTGTACTTCTTCCCTGTTTACACTTCAAATCCCGACTGGCTTCCACAGTTGGAAGCGAGAAGACATATCTTATACGAGTGCTACACAGCCCGTTAGAGAAAATGCCACCAGTTTCGTTGCTTGTTTAAAAGAACTAAACATCCTGGATTTCGAATGAAATACGTGATAATTGTGAAAAAATTAGTTCGCACGCGACCGCCTTAATCGCGGATTCTCACGGTTGAGCTTACTGCGACTATTGTTAATTGACATATTTTGATTGGTATTCACAGAGTTCGATCTTATCCGTCTGTCGATGCATTGATAACTGGAACATCCATTTCAAATTAAACGTTAAAAATTGAATTATTAAATTGTCCTCGAATTTTTCTTTGGTCCTTAAATATTATTAAATGCTTTATCGTTCTCTCTTTCTTTCTTTCTTTTTTCCAATATTCGCAGAGTCCAATCTTATATTTAATCCATTATATCAATGCATTGGTATAGCCGGATACTCATTTCGAATTAAATGTTAAAAATCGAATTATTAAATTGCCTTTGGTCCTTAAATATTAATAAACGCTTTATCTTTTTCTCTTTCTCTCTTTCTTCTAATATTTTTTCTTGAAAAAAAACTAAATAGTTTTCACTGATAATTTTTATCAGCTCAAAAAATCAAGGTTAAAATTTAATAATAAGTTGTAAAATTTGATTGCGATACACACTAGAAATTAAATTGACGAGTCACAGTTAAAGGCAAAAAAAGTGCGCGTTGAAGATTGCCGACGGTCCGTTATACACAATACCTAACGATAACTTAATTTTATGTGTTACTATATATATTTGAGTTACTAGAGAAAATGGCGTTAAAAAAGAAAGCGAATAATATAAGAAAGAATATAAGATATAATACAGAATGCAAGATATAATAAGAATACAAGAACAAAAGAGATTAAGAAAAAATTTTGGTGAAAGTTTTATGATGGGAAAAACCCAAAGAATGAGTACAAAACAATAAAAAAGAAACTTTTAGGTTAAAAAATAAAAATGCATAAGTTTCCTATTTCGAAACGGTTTGCATTTCGAATGTTTTATATCAATGTTTTACATTAAAGCGAAGTCTTGTTTTATTAAGCATATTAAGCATTTAATTACATGATGAATACGAATCTTCGAAAACTTAAAATAATAAACTTAAAATCAACAGATCTTCTTTTTGAATGCAACATATGATATTTTATAAAAATTTTTAACAAATACAGAGAAATGCTTTATCATTATGGCTGTGGTATAAATTGATTATTTTATATTAATTAATCAATGTATAATACCTCGATGTTATAAATGAGAGCTAATTGATAATTTTTCACATAATTTACATAATCAATCATTTTATATTTGTCTTACCTTCACTACAGAATATTCATCCGTATCTAGACACATGTGAAACATGTGAGAAAATAAGATAAAGAATTAAGATAATCACTTATATAAATACTGTCGCAGGATCCTTCACATATTCTAACTTCAGGTTAGTTATAAAAATAAATAATATATAACAATATATATAATTCTGCTAACAAGTTAATAACAAGTAAAAAATGCTTTGGATCTTTAAAATATTGAGTGGTGCACGTAGACCTGGACGTAGACGGCCTGGCACGTAATTCCGTGGATTTCTCAAACGTTAGTACTATGCAAAAAGAACAAGAAGAGGAAAGGGGTGACTGTCGACTTGTGGTCATTTCTGACTGACGGAAACGGACCGACTCCTAATGTACCGCTAAAATCGTCTAATTGGGCTGATGATGTAGAGGATGATTATAAAGGATTTTCATAAAGCAGCAGCAAAGATCCGGTTATATCGTCGGCAACATTGCCGACTGCTCCAAAGGCTGCACGATAACCAGGGATTGATGAAGAAAATATTCCTATAAATCCTCCTTATGTCTGCATAAGAAATTTGCCATACGACGTATACGGAACAGACCTGGCAAATTTCTTCACAGGTATGAAGATCTCAAACATACATTTACCAAACGACGCAAATAAGATTAAGGGCTGCGGTTGCGTCGAATTCGAAGATCGTCAGAGTTTAATTGATGCTCTTTCTATAACAAATACGACGATTAAGTCGAGTTCTTTTATAATAATTCTAAAATTTTTATCTAAAATAATAAAATTTTCTTAAATACTCACACACATGCGTATAGAATAATACGTATTATATAAATATATGTTATTAATATTTCATATATGTATATAATAATGTATAATAAATAAATAATAATGTATATAAAATATGTATAATAAATTTTGTGTGAAATATATATATATATATAACTACATTTTATTATATACATATATAAAATATGTATCTACATATATAATTTTGAATCGAAAGGAACTTGAGAAACCGCTATTAAAATTAAAATAAAATATTTAAAGAAATATTTTATATCTCGAATCATTTCGTTGAATATAAAAGATTTAAGATTTTGATAGGTTAAATAAAACTTTGTTGCTATCGACACGATACGAAGAATTCTGTAAGTAAAGTGTGTTGTGTGATTTTATCCTCTTCCCCTCATCTTGACTCAAGAACAAACCGCGGCATTTACGGTCGTCTGTCTGCCAGCCGGATTCTGTAATTTGTGGTGACAATTTCATGTTCTGCCTCGTGCACGATACTCATAACGGGAACGTATGACGAGGCCCCCGGGAACACGCGATACAAATCCGTGCAGGGTCGGTGTCTGGTGGAAGCGGCGATAACGATCTTAACACAGTCATTAGATGCACTTGTCAATTTTTCGCGACGACTTGCAGTCGCTGGTACGCGTGGAATTGACGCCTGCTGATGGCACTGTTAATTCTGTATTACTAAACAGAATATCGCGCTTTATTATTAGTGAAATTTATATACATAATATATAATTAAATAAATAAATTTTTAAGATTGAGTAACGAATGCTTTTAAATTAAATTTATTTTTTAAAAACATAATTTTTTTTCTTATAAGCATATCTACAATATCTACATATTAAATATAGCGTAAGACGTTTATAGGGAAAGAATTAAAATATTTAAAATAAAATATTAAATATCTAGACGTGAAGTCTATATATTACCACATTTAATATATTATTTTTTGTTTAAATAAATATCTAAACGTGCCAAAAATCTTTTAATAGGTTTTTCATGCATGGAATTGTAAGAATTTAAATGTAGAATTATATGATATCCATTGGAAAGTAAAGATTTAGTCAAATAGCAGTTATCAGTGACCGTTCGTCGAAGAGATCGGAAAAATGAAATTTGTGTGACGTATCACGTTGCCTTACCTTCTCCTTTAACTCTCACTCTTTTCTCTCCCTTTCTCTTTCAGAGTGTTATGTTTGTCGCCCCGAGAGGCGACATGCAGGGGCGACATGCGACTTTTGGCGCGTTCTGGATCCACGAACTCCCTTCACCACTTGTTGTCGAGATAGTGAAACCGCAGCCAATCAAGTGTGCGTAGGCGGTGCGACGATGCCTGAGCCCTGAGGGCGGCCGCGTTCAACCAACGAGCGAGCGAGCTCCATGCCATCGTAGTTGGACCCGTGGTGGACTGCACCGATTTCTGGGCCAAGAAAGAATCAGTCGCCTCAGTTCTATTTCACGATCGTAGAAGGGTGCACGTGACTTCAAGCAGTTCGTTCGGAAGATTTCCGCGTTGCCTCGCACTGACATTCGACAATTGAGGAAGTGATAAAAACTGTCGGTCCTGTGCGGAAATGTTCCAGGATCTGAGTAACATTTCTCTGATGCCCCTGGAATTGAAACTGCAACTGTCGCCACTCTTGATGCAGCACTCGTCACCGATCGCTCTACAGCGTAACTTAGGTACGTATTGAATTATTTCCAGCATAAATTTCAATTCGTTTTATAGTCGACGATGTGACGAAGACGGCCTCACGGGTGAAGGTTAGCGGTTTGTGTTTACGGTGATTTTGAGTTTTCGACACAATTAGCGGCGTATATGATACTCCAATGTCAGAAACTTCAGTTTATGATATTGATCCGATGTAACGTGTAAAAATTTTTAAAATATAATTCACGACTGCAATCTCCCACTCAATTCAGTTTTCTACCCTTAGTTTCTCTTCATTTTTTCTTCAAAACTTATTTATTGATTGCTCTATATTTAGATCATTATATTATCGAAAGAATTAAATTGCTTTTACTGAAAAATCCTTAGCGCGGCGATTATAATGAATTTTTAATTTGGAAGACATCTATTATTATTGGTTTTCTATGTAACACGCAAAAAATTTTTCAAATATAATTTGTGACCAATAATCCCTCACTCGAGATCTTCAGTTTTTTAATTTCACTTCTTCTCAATGTTTTCCTTAAAATTAATTTGGACATATTGTCGTTGTCGGAATAATTATATTGTTTTTATCGAAAGTCCTTAGCGAGACGATTAAGTTATAATGAATTCTTAATTTGGACGGAAATCTATTAATACCGATCTGATATAACGTACGTGTAAAAAAATTTTTCAGACATAATTTGCAACTAATAATCTTTCATTTGAGATCTTTAATATTTTATTTTTATTTTTTCCTTAAAATTAAATTAGATATATATTATCGTTGTATAATTGGAATAATTATATTGTCTTTATCGAAAGTCTTGAAGGCGATGATTAAATTCCAATGAATTTTTAAGTTGGAAGAGATCTGTTAATATCGATTCGATGTAAAATGTAAAAATTTCTCAGATATAATTCACGACTGACAATCTTTCACTCGATTCAGTCTTTCGGCTTCATTTTCTTTTCTTTTTTCAAAATTGATGTAGGCACGCTGTCGTTACATTATCGGAACAATTGTATTGTTTTTAATTTGAAAGTCCTTAGCGTGACGGTGAAGTTATAAATTTTCCATTCGAAAAGGCATCTGTTTCACGGAGAAAAAATAGTTTTCATGATCAAACGATCATAAACGTCTCGTATGCGAATTTTTTGCCTGTGAAAATTTGTGAAATCCGAGCGGTCTAGAAGGAAAGATCGCTGTGACGAATCGATTTGCACCCTAATGAGGAGACCGGGTTCTTCCGGGGCCACCTTGTATCACTGTCGATCACCAAATATCCCGTGTAATGTAACCTACATTGGACACTGCATTGATTATTCGACGAAAGAGATGAAAGGAGACCGCGACCTTCGGGGCGAACAATTGTTATCTACCTACTGCAGAATGGCTTTTTAGTGCGGTTTACGGGTGCCGGACACGATTGTATCCATAATGCCACGAGACAAGTGCGATGGTTGACGTGAAACGCTGTAAGGGTAACCCCCGCTGGCTACGCTATTTCTGTTACTTCATCCACACTAATATTTTCCTATTCACCCTCATTGTCAGACAGCGTCGCCTTCTCAGAAGAAATGCCGCCTGTGTGCCTATTGGCAATTCGTGTCGCGTAAGATAGTGGCGAACGCGGTCATCGGTATATTAAAAAGAATTCTAGAACTCTCAATCTTATAATATTTATTCATTTTTGTTACATTCCCTTTTTCGTACATCTCTCTCTGGACATTTTCCATCATATTTTTTTCAGGGTATTTGGATACACAGATAACACTGCATGGTATAACACAGTGAATTATTATCCATGTTGTTTGTCAATGTTAAATAAGTATAAAATGAGAGAGATTCACTATGTATAAAATATATATATATATATTATAGACAATGATAAGACACAATATTTTTTTAATTTTTTATTCAACAGTTAATAAACCACAGAAATGCACGCGCATTCAAGCCAAAATTTCGAGAAAAACAAAGAGCATTTTCCAGCAGCGAGAGACACATATCACTGTGAAACACATGCTTGGATTGTGCGTGCGCTTCCATTGCTTAACTGTTAAATAAAAAATTTTAAAAATGTTGTATCTTATCATTGTCTATATTATCTATAATATATATATTTTTTATTATATTATTAATGATATATATATATTTTTTTTACCATATTATCAATAATATATATTTTCCCTTATTTTCCCTATTATCTATAATTTATCCGTGTATCATACATAATTTTTCCACATATTATCCATTTTATACTGTAATCTATATCTTGTTATCTATCCATGTATAATATATATAATCATAGTCCAATAATCTCTATAAGAAAATGAGCGCTTATAAAATATCTTGATATTGACAGCTGACATTTACACAAATAATGTTTAATTTATCATTATTTAATTGCAAAAATATCCGTAATTTGGTAATTAACAAGGTTGAATTTGTCTTTTAATGCTGAATTATCCTCAAAGTGTGATGCTTTAATAATGGAACATTTTTTATATCCTTTTTTGTATTATTAATCGTTAATTAATCATCATGCTATTAATTTGCAGATGAGAGGATGAATTCAAGAGAGAGCGAATGGCTCTTTCAACCCCCATTGTTGTCCGGTGTCAATGCGGAACTGGTTAATGTAAATCTTTGGCAGCAATTTCATCAGCACCAAACCGAGATGATAATTACGAAGTCGGGCCGGTGAGTACTTTTATGTGTCTTCATTGCTGTTTTTTTTTTCTAAAGTAGATACATCAAAGTATATATTATATATTTTTTATATATTACGTATTCAAAATTATTATATATTTTTTATATCATTTCTTATATTTTTCTTATATTATTTATAAATTCTTAGAATGTATTCTTGAACAATGCTCAACAACTAGAAATCAATAAGATAATTGTAATAAAAAAGAAATAATCACAACTCAAACGTTGCAAACGAAACCGAATGATAAAATAACGCGGTGACAAATCTCTCGCGATGCGTAATCATAATAATCCTTCAAATGTCGTAATATTTTCCTCTCACGGTCAGTAAAGCAAAGAAATCTCGAAATTTAATATAATGAATCAGGATAAAATGGATCGTCGACGAAAACGTGACTGGCGGTATCAAGATTCAATTATAACAGTCATATAAGAATAATTATTCATATGTGCCGCGCGTGTTTATGACGCGTCTGAGTGGCGCGGTAGCGGTGGCGCCCGCGTGCCTTCGGTTGGAGAGCACGAGGGTTGATGAGGGAGCGAGACAAGATACTTCCCTTGAGACTTCTTCTTTTCTCGGCGCCCGTGAAAAGTGACGAAGCCGAAGAGACGTCGCGCCGCCGTTGCCACTCCCCCACTGTCTGGCAACCGGAGGCCTACTGCTTAGTCGGGCGCCACGCCGGCGCTCTCGAAGCCATTGCGTCGCGAGTTACCTCTCAGGAAACAACGGATCCTGCTGCGAGGATTCTGCAAAAAAAAATGCAATACGAGAGCACCATGTCCCTTATCGCTGATTTGCGATGGTGCTGACCCGAACAGGAAAAATGCGGTCGAAAAATTCTTTCCCGGAAAACTTCCCGGAATGGAATATATCAGATATCTCGAGATCGCGAAGACATTCGTCGCGTCTTTCGTTTTAAGAGAAAGCTTTTTTTAAAAAAAAATTTTTTTTCTTACGGAAGATAGAAAGTTTTTACATTTTTGTACGGTCACCTTGTCGCCTACCTACCTATACCTACCTATCTAACGACCACCTATGAACCACTTAAAGTTTTTTCTTGGTTGACACGCGGCAACCATCAATCGTTTTTAACGAGCTGCCGAATCGTCCTTTCCATTGTGGTAGCGTTTTTCGCAGGTATTTAATGCCGGCATTCTGACACATTAAATCTCAGGTGAACTCTACACGTTTTTCTATTTTAAATCTTTAAGTCGGATTTTAAGAAAATTTTTAGACTGCAGATGTGGTATTTAGGAGTAGAAGAAGTTTTTTCCGAAAATCTAGACGATAAGATATCTGAAAAAACAGATATAAAATTAGAATTAAAGTTGGAGATAAAAACAAGTAAGTGATTTATTTAACTAATAAATGATTTTGTTTATTTTTTTAATAAAATAAATTGATACAATTATTATAGAAATAATAAGTTTATCGATTTATTCTATCCAAAAAGATGAATAAAATTATTTATTAATCATTTATTAGTGGATTAGCAAAAAAGTAGGAGCCACTTTTTTATTTCTATTTTTATATTTTTTTGAGATATCTTAACTCAGACTACCTACCATCGAAAAAAACAATTTTTAACTATAAATATCAATTGCGATAAAAATTAGAATTCGATAAGATTTTGAAAAACGTATTTTAGGGATTGGCTAAGATTTAAATCGGATGTAGATAACCTCAGATAACTCTTCAAATAACTTTTTTCATCTTAATAGTAAAAAAATGAAGGCATAGTTAAACTTTTTTAATAAGATTTAGTAGTTTTTAATCATTTTAAAGAAAAAGTATTTAGTAGCTGTTTTTCTTTATTGGTTGAAATATTCATATCTTTCTTATTTTTTAAATCAAATATTAAGAAATATTTATTCTTTCTTATTTTTATAAATAAAATATTAAGTAAATCTATATATAATGATTTCTCAAATCTAAATATATATATTAGTAAATTATAGATCAATTAATAATATATCAATATGTAGTTAACAATAGTGACTTTTAATTGGGGTATAAAAATTATCCCAGAGATAATAATCGTTTACGCAATAAAAACTAACTATTTATCGAATTAACGGATTAAACATTAAGAAATATTTAGTAAAACTGTTAGTATATTTAATCCAAGATTAGGAAATTATGTAATCCCATTATTAAGATGGGATTTATTGAAAGTTGTAAAAAAAAAATTTTTTTTAATAGGAAAATATAGGATAGGAAAGTTAGGATTGTAACATATAGAATAAACATAGCCGAAGGCTTGGAGTGCTAAGATAAAAAGTTAAAAGAAAAATTAAGAATGGAAGAATTTGAGTTAAGATTTTAAGTATACGAGGAGATAATGGTATGAAGAATGCGAAAATATTAGAGAATGGAACATGAGTTTGAAGAAGATAAATGTAAAGATAAGGTTTAGACATGCTTAGAAGTAAAAGGCTGTGTAAAATAGGATAATGTGCAAAATATTGTAAACACAATAATATAGATAGGTAAATGGTTGAATTTTGAAATGCCAAAAAGGACAATGTGCATGAATGTGCGTGGAGAAAGTGTAAAGCCTCTTTAGTTATAGAAATGCTATATTAGAAGAAATAAATATTCTATTCTATTCAAAATTTTTAAAATATTGCAAATTAAGTTTGAATTTGAAATCCAAATGAAATTAGACATGTCAAAATTATTGAAACTTACGCTTCTTTCAAATTTTGCCTTTCAGAAGCTTCGCTTACGTTTCTAGCTGTCATTTTCTCTTTCGACTTACGCTCAAATCTTTATTTTTGCTAGAGAAAGCAATAAGCAGTAGCAAATAAAAAATAATTATTTGCTTATCGTTTATGTTTTTCTGTTCCCCTGGTCTAGGCAAATGTTTTTTATTTCCTACTTGCTTTGCTGCTTGATTGTGATTAATCGATTTACTTACGTCTTATATTTTTCTATATATATGTCATGATTTTAATATATAATTAAGGTTACACAAACGTTACAACACTTTGTTTCTTTTTAAACAATTGAATCTTAACAAGAATGATTTAGCGAGAATGATTTCTTCCTGAACGTTCCGATTGTTCCAAAATTATGTGATCGAATGAATTCCGTTTTCGCCTAAAAGAAAACAATAATCTCGTGGGTATTTAAGCGTCCCGATATAAGTCTTTTCGTTTCCGTCGCTCCCGAAATTCGATCTGATGACGTATATTACGATAATTTTACTTATATGCGATAGGATCATTCTAACAAGATAGACGAAGCGTTTTTGAGTGACGACAAGTCCAGCGATTAATCTCATAGAGAGTGTTTTTGTCGCGCAAAAGATGCGCTGCAACATGTCCTTAAGATTTATCGCTCGTCTCGCTTGGGGGTCGGTAGGTCTTTTATAACCGGCTAAAAATGCGTTATTCATTCTTTTAGAAACAAAATGGTCGTAATTCGACGCGCGTTATAAACGCGTTACGGCCAAACGTGTAGAAGGACATCGCGTTTGTCACGTCCGTTTCCGACCGACCGAAGCTTTCGCCGGAAGCTATTGGATAATTTCTTCCCAAACTGGGTGCACTCGGGGCGGTTAAATGGTCGATAAGCGTACGTGGAAATTTGCGTGGCTTTAAGTAGATAATGCTATAACGGGCGTGATATCACGCGTCACGTTTTCGTGTTATATCGGTGTCGCGTGGGCGTGAAAACCGAAAGGACGGAAGGAAGGAAGAAAGGAAGGGAGGAAGGGAGGAAGGGCATGGAGAGATTTGTAGCCGTTTATGTTTCAGGACGTTGTTAGAAAACTCTCTACTTTCGACGACACACATGACTTTTACACATAAAGCGCGAAGATTTACGAGGGAAAATTTGATTTTCCTTCCTTTCACGTGTAGCGTGATTTTTAATAAATAATATGTCGGATGCTTTCTAGAATTATATATATCCAGTGACGGTTTTAAGAATAGATTTTTTGATTGTAGGCATTTCTTCTGTAATAAAAATACCGTTGATGCTAACGAGTTTTGCATTATACGAATCTGAATTTTTTTTCGGAATTAGGAGTCATATTATTTACATTATGCAGTTTATTTAGTTTATGATATTTTAGTTTACACAATTTATTCACGTAGAGTGTTTTAATTTATTTTATATTTTACTTTTTACATGTTTATTTTCTTTATATGTTTTAAGTGATTTTTTTGCACTTTCTTGCAAATCGGTTTTGCACATTCAACCAAATATAAAGGATATTTTATTTGCGTGTTATTTTCTTATTTCGAGGAATCGCATTTTCCAAAAAAAAAAAAAAAAATCGTATTTCCTGGGTCTCTTCCACGGAAGGCAAGTCCATCTTTGTAATACTATATACGTCGAATATCTGATTACGTGGCATTGGACCACCTAGTCTCCGCTGAACGACGCAGGATGACCATCGATCGTATGTACTTTTAACGGGCTGACGGATCATAAACGGATGATCGGGGTTCCGAGCAAGAAAAAAAAGTTCGGACACATGTTTATCTTCGCCAGGGCGGTCTTACTCAACAACAATAGCGGCGAAGGTGTCTATCTCTTCGTTCGTGTCTCTTCCGGCGTTTCTCTATTCGTACACGTGCCGACCACGTGCTCCCTTTCGCTGTCTCTTTCTCCCTCTTTCTCAATCATGATTCTCGCACCAGAACTTGCGAATGCTCGCACGATATTTTTTGTATTCTATAGCATAGATAATTATCCCCGTGGCACGCATACCGTGCTTTCAAATGCATTCAGATTTTTTCCTCGTTTAAATATTGGCTCCCGTGCGACACAATCGATTTTCTTGGTTCCTAGAACGCTCAACAATGAACGCGATAATGAAGCAAAACGAAAAATGTAGCCCTTTGAGAGATAGTCCTTTTTTGTGACCGGCAAAGGGTTAAATTATAAAGAGTTGAAGTATAAAAATGATTAAAAAAACTAAAGATAAATGATATATTGACATGTTTCTGGCTTTTGAATTTTCCTTGACTTGAATAGTTCGGCTGTCAAGAAACTAAAACTATCGTTATATCCTATTGTTAGAAGTTTCTTTTTGAGGAAGCTATGATGAAGCTTGCAATTTGTACGGGTTTTTTCAAAAATCTTTTACACTCTTTTGTTTGAGAAAAAGTTTCTCTTTTTTCCAAGAAATCATTTAAAATGATCATAAATTAAACCTTTGTCGGCAACATATAATTTTGCACTTTTTGTTAGCAATCTGGAGGAGCTGTGAGAGTCAAATTTTTCCCAACTGTGTAAAATAATCTGAAAAAAATTTTGTATACTTATGAATTTGACAAGTTTTTACTATCATAAAAATCGGATTGTATTTTACTTATTTTTAATATAATCGAATCAGAAGTAAAGTCGTTGAAAAACTGTGATTTCGATTAAAAATTTATAAGTAAATTTAAAATAAGTATATAAAAAAAAGAATTTTTTAAACCATAATACGTGATATGTACTTCGGAAAAAATTTAGTCTAATAATATTTAGTCCAAAAATTTGAATTATTTGAATATATTTAAACAAATGAAGATTTTTTTCAGTAAGAAATTTGAAAAAATCTTATTCGAGAAAGAAGACAATAAAACTTTTTACAGATTAATGATTAAATTTAATTTTTTCATCAAAATAAGTGTTAAATGAGATACGTATAAGATTTATTGAGTATAAAGAAATCTATATTGTATCAGCGAAGAAATTATGTAAAAGAATATATATCTTAAACAAAATCTTTATATATTTATTAATTAGCGTTAAAAACATATAAAACACGAAAATTTCCAAATTTTTTATCAAAAACTCGACTATGTCTTCAAAGATCCACATTGCGGAAGTTTCAAGAAACACAAAACATTATTGATTAGTCATTGAAAAAAAAGCAAATCTTAAAAAGTAGCGTAGATTATTTTCATGATATATTTTAACAAATAAAAAAGGTTAAAATTTAATAGAAATATGAAAAATCGGGAAATAGAAGTACAGCACGATTTTTGATCGAGCCAAACTTTCGTCGTTTCCTCGAGGATACGTGTGCATATGTGTTTACACAACAAACACGTCTACGTATACATTGCCGTTTTTATTACATGTTGGGGGTATGTCGAACAGACGCGTACGCGTGTGCTTCTCATATGAGAAGATAACCCACGCGACTTTTAAGTGGCCTGGCAATCAGCGGAATAGAACATGAGGCCAGAGCTCGTGCCACCGAGATGCGGCGTTATATCACACCACTGCAGACGTTATCTCGTCGCTGCCGTAATTACGAGAGGCTCCTTAAACCAGACGCGTCTGTCGCAGCGGCACGAGCATCCGACGGCCGCGGTCGCGATAGCGCGCGAACGCGACCTACCTATCGCTTTTCGAAAAAGGACGATGAGTAAAATAGGCTGCTTTTTGCCTAAAAAGTGTAAATTATACATGTAATTTCATAATTTTTGAGTTGCTGAATATGATGCACCAGTTTTATTTATTTATTTAAACCCGAGAAAATGAGCATTTAAAAATATTTGAAATATTTCTCTTTTCTTTTGATAATTTGAATAATAACATTTTATTTGAATTATTTAATTATTTGTTATAATTTATTTCTACAGCTAAAAATTTTTACTAAAAATTGCGAAAACATATCAAAATTAAATACTTCAGAAGCATTACATCTAATCGAGCCGATGACAAGCGCGTATGTGACGTTCTGCCTCAGAAGTATGCGTATACTAGAAATACGCTGGAATACATACTTTTTGCCAAATCAACATTGAAACATTTTTTTTGCTAAATAATTTAAAAAATTATAAAAATAAATTCTAATACAATTAATTAAATAATTGGAACAAAATGTTACAAACTGTATTATTCTAAGGGAGGAACTTATTTTCGATTCTTTTAAGATGATCGATTTTAAGATGATTTTGACGACTTTCCCATGGCCTTAGATAAATAAAACTAAGTACCACAACAGTTACAGTACAGTCGTATTCACAACAGCTTAAAAACTATAAAATTACATGTATAATTTTATTATACTTTTTGAACGAAAATCGGCCCATTTTATTCATCGTTCTTTTCGTTCGACCGCGATTATGATTGTGATCAAATTTTCAATTAATAAGAAACAAAAGAATCACTTCACGTAAAATAGAATAACGAGATTTGAATATACATCACGATATGTGAATGCTTTCCATTTAGCGACAAGTGTCTTTGGTACCTGTATATCAATAATGATATCTAAAGGAAAACGAAATTTCTATAACAATACACCTCGAAAGCATGAAAAAAAAATATAGTTGCTATCCTCGATAATTTATAAATCAAGGTTTAGGACTCGGAATTTTGTGTTATCGCTTTCCACCGTTACCTGACGCTCCTCTCGGAGCTTTACCGTCTCTTTATACCTGCTAATGTATTGACAATGCAACAACGAGAAGAGCAGGCGGGGACCAGACGTGTACAGGCTACAGGCAAGTCCTTTGTTGGCCCGCCGCGTCGTCGACTCGATACGAGAGGCCGAACGCGAAATGTACCGCGGAGGAAAACCGCAATTAGGCAGGCAAGGCGGGACGGCGGTGGTCGGCGCGGCTCGATTTGACCTTTCGTAGAAATATTTGCGCAGCCGGAAAAACTAGTTGACGAGGGTGAGAGAGGCCTGGGAGTCCTGCGTAGTAACAGGAGCGGATTTGACGCCCGCGCCGTCGTCCTCTCGGCGACGCCCATCCGTCGCCGGCACGTTAATGACTATAACGAAGCCTCCGAGGGCCTTTGTTCCTTCGAGGAAGAGTGCGAATACTTATACCTGCACGAAAATGAGATCTCTTTTCAATGGCGTTAAATTTTCTCCACTGAGGCAAAAAGTCATTTACAAAATGGCTACGCACATGCGTTATCTCTAATCGCGCGCTATCTCCGTGCCGTTGTTAGATAATTCACAAAATCACTATTCGCTCGATACTATTCATGAATCTTCATTATGCATGACTTGTAACATTCTGATCGAAAATACTTTTTCTAAATATTTGTGTGATAAAATTGTCTAGACTGAGTTATCTTATAGATCCAATATAGAATAGGTACACCTTAGGTGTACACATTTCTTTTTTGCCTAAATACGCATTCCAGGGATCCCATCCATATTTTGTTAACATAATTCCAGCAAAAATATACATATTTCATCAATTTTTTTTAATCGATCAAGAATTGATCAAGAAACAGATTTATGAATTTCGGTCTATGAATGACACTTTTATTTATTTCATCTGAAATTATTATTATTAGATACTTTAATATAATATACAATTTATTTTTTTTTTTAATATAATTTATTTTGTATCTAACTTTGCTGTTTATTAAACAGTTGCGCATTTCTTCGACTTTGAGCTTTTCACAGCTTATAACGAAATCAGCTGGATAATTATAGTATTAAAAGAATGAAGATAATCTTAACGTGACTTTAGATGCCATCCCCAATGTCAAACTATATTGCTGTCTTTTCAATTAAAATTTATGCTTTTCCTGTCACATAAATCATAATTAGTCAAAGTAAAGATTTCCAAACAAATGTTCCTGTACCTGCTATATATAGTGTTCTGTAACTGGCATAACCGATAATTCTGCATGAAAAGATGCTTTGAATGTATGGAATAAAACTTTTTGATTTGAAAACTCTTTTAAAAAATCAATCATTTTAAAATTAAAAAAATAATATATTTAATTTGTGTTTTTTTACATTAAATTAGCTTCAAGGGTATTGCTTCATATGTTATCGAAATGATCTCAACAGTGTATTTATATTAATAATATAATTAGAAAGAATTATAATAATTTTTTGCGAGTTGCCATAAATTATTTTTGCAGATGTTACTGTAATTTTCTATCCCAACAGTGGTTATTATTAGAATGGCCCTTGTTGGGATGTTAAAAAAGCAAAAATATGTTATTAATTTCAACTAGGAGAGTTCACTAATTTGTGGGACTGGTAAGGGCTCACAAATAGCTTGTAATTTTCTGAGCCGTTCTTTTCTTTATTTCCGCATTGTGGGGAAAGAATGATAGAAATCAGGGATTAAATTACGATGCTGTTCTAGTAATTCTAGAAGCCGTTTAGTACCGTCTTAGAGGCTGATCTGCTGATAATTTCGCAGACAGCAGTCAACTTTCATTTCAAACGCACCGTATCTAAAGAAACGATATATAGTCCACTTTCTTTAAATTTCCGTGTTATCCATGAAAAGAAGACATAGGTACTACAAAGTTCCTCCTTACATTATATGTAAAGAAGGATTATGTCGTCTTCGACAGATTTTTTCAGGTACTCGAAACTTGCAGTTTAGAGAGAAATTTTGAAATTTGTGAAGCTCAACACTGACAATGAGTATCATTGTTATCCAACGATGATTAATGGAAATCTCTTTTTTTATCTTTTACAGACGCATGTTCCCGTCCGTTCAATTAAGCGTAAGCGGTTTGCAAAAGCGTGAGACTTATTATGTTCTCCTGGAGGTAGCACTGGCATCGAATCAACGGCACAAGTACTGCGGATACGAGAACGAGAACAGGAACAGCAATATGGGTGGTTGGAGCTTGGCGGGACCGGCGGATCCACAGCACAACTTTGACCGTCGGATATATATGCATCCCGATAGTCCCGCGATAGGCGATCATTGGATGGACAATCCGATCCACTTCAACAGATTAAAGCTCACGAACAACGTCAACGACAAGAGTAATAACGTAAGTAATTACGCTAACTAAATTATTGTAATTATTGTACAATATAATATATTATTATAAATATATTATATTGTACAATATATTATTGTAATTAATTCACAATGTATGCTAGGTTTGTAAATACGAAAGCACATATGTCTGAGCAGATATTATAGTTAGTTTATTTGTGCTTCTTCTGTACAATTAAAATTATTTAAATATTTTATGTTCCATGTAATATTTCTGTGTTACTGTAATAATTACTCTTCTAAAAAGCTTCTTTCTATATAATTTATATTTAAAACAACAAAGAGTAAATAAAATATAAATTGTTTGTTAAAAATAAATATATAAAATATATAAATATTTATTTTTCAAAAATAATTTCTTTTTAATAAATAATTAATTTAATTGTTTTATTTTTTAGTAAACATTATATACTGTAACATAGAGAACAAAAATTATGAATTATTAATAGCTTGCTCGATAAAATCATAAAGCTTTGTAAAATGATACTCGAAATCTATTAGAGAAATAACGCGTTACAGACGAAAGATATAAGACAATTCTTCCCTTGGAGAAAATAGAAAGAGAAGATTTATGGCCAATTTAATGGTTGCCTCTCATTTATCCGATTCTTCGATGTTTTGACAGCCTTAAATTAATTTAAAAAAAAATCCATATTTCCTCTTTCCTCGCTCCCATCTTCGTTATTTCGATCTTGGTACATTTTCTCCCATTTGTTGCATGAGGGAGTATCAACGCACTTTGTCTTTAATTTAATTTTGAATTTTCTTTTTTAACACTCAGTTAATATAGTTACTCATAAGACAAAGATGTTACGAATTATTTCAGATGATCGTAAAACATCGAATGTGATTTTCTACAATTTTTATTTTTATTTTTTTTTTGCGATATAATATCTTCTGTTTTCTTTCTAATTTTTATTCTTCCTATTTTCTTTAGATATATCAAATAATAAATAAAAATGTGATACAGTAATCTGTGTCCTTTGAATAATCGGTGTAAAGAAGCATTAATTTTTTCTTAATATCAATAAAGCATTGAATGTGAATTTCTTCTCACTTTAATAAATACAAGATTTAATTATTTCTATTTCATTAAGAAAATAATATATTGATTCGGTATATATGAAGAATATTTTCGAAGGCTCCTGATATTTTTGCGGGTATTCCGATTATTCTCTCACAAAATTCGCTCGGAGGCGAAAGCGTGGTCTTGTGGTCGAGGATTAAAGAAATTTCTGAGAAAGAAAAGATCAGCGATGCATTTTCCGGAGGAGTCTTAAGCTACTCAAGACGGTGCGGCGCGGCACGCCGCGCCGACGGTCGATCCAGCGTCTATAAGGAACGCAGATTAACACGCTTCACGACACCCTGTAATCGATATACCTCCCTTTCCCGTTAGGCCTGAACGAGAGTGAGTTTGTTTACGAGCCGACTGAGTTCCTAGCTGCCGCCGTCGCCGTTGGTGTTAAGGACGCCGTTTTACGGTTCTCTTCTGCCTTTGTCGACGGCAAAAAGGACCCGCAGAAGAGCACGGCGGCACTTTTGCCCCTCATTATTGTCCATTCGTGCTGATTCATGCACGAAAAAGCGTCACGATAATCCACAAAGGTCCGCGGCTGAAACGGCGGCGACAAACAAGAGATTCGCATTGTCACGCGTTTATCAATTTCGTCACCTTTCCCTTTAACTATGGGAAAACGGGCGGGATCAGATCTGGTTTAAGAAGCTCTATCTAATCTCCCCCTAATCTATCTATAATCTAAGGCATCTAATCAGAAAGGATTATGAAGGCAATCAGAAAGGATAATAAAGAGGGCTATCAGAAAGGCGATTACGACCGCATGTCGTAGAAATGTCAAGATTTTCAATTATAAGCGATTCTGAGTTTTAGAATTTTGAATCTAATCTCCGCTTCTCAGCGCGGGCGCTTTTGAAATTTTTCTTCTCAGTCAATTTCAAACAAAATTTATTCTATATATGATTATCGAAATATGTAACATTAAAAAAATTTTTTTAAATTTAAAAAATATATAATTAAGAAATTAATATTCTTGTTAAATATTTAGCAAACAAAAATGTCACTAAGCAGATATTTTTAGTCAATAAATATTGTGCAATTAAAAGAAAAATAGATGAATTTGAGACAGCTTTCACATACAAAACTTATTATAGTTTTACTGCTTGATTATTTGTTTAATTTTTAATATTACGCCCGTTTTCATGATAAAAGCTTCATGCGAAGTATAAATATACCGCTTGAAATCGGCCGTAATGACTACCAGATCGCGCATTGAAGTGGTGCATCTCGCTCTAGATTCGTACGAGAGATCCTCGGTGGCACAGAGACATGTGATTCCGGGAAGGTTGCAGGGCTTAGTCTGGTTTTCGGGAATCGCGTCTGTGTCTACCGTCGGCCTCTTTAGTGAGGCGCCAACTTATCTCGAAAAAGCGGCGCTCCTTTTACCCGGTTCCTCAAACTAATTACGAATTTAATAAAATTCCCGGCGCTTCGTCCCACCCCCTTTCCGTCCCTCCGCCGCCCCCCCATCCGCATACGCAACTAACAGAAAGAGTCTCTTCTTTCGTGCTTCTCTCTCTTCTCCCCTTTGGGCTCGTCTTTCGCGATGCAGATACTGTAACAGCGATCCTTTTTTTTGTAATTAACATTCAAAAATAAGAAATTTGTATAAAAAGCGAAATCCATTTACAAACTTTATGATTTGTTTAGATTTTGATATTTTTTAATTGATGATTTTTATTTAATTGTATCGCTCAAACGAAACGTAACAGATGTGAAAATAATATCTTATAAGATATTGATTTAATAATGTTTAATAAAGGTTCAATAAATTTTTTAAATCCTAATTTTAGTCTTAGCAATGCAAAATCGAAAGTTACATCTTAGTTACATATATATTTTTAAAAAAATTATACTAATTTAAAAAAAAATTTATTTTACAGGTGATATTAGCATCGATGCACAAGTACGTTCCTAAAATCTGGATAATCCGTTGCAGCAACGCGACGAACCTCAATGAGCTTTTCTCTAATCCTGCCGCGTCGTTTATTTTCAAGGAAACGGAATTTATCGCGGTAACAGCATATCAAGTACGTAATATAAAATAAAAACGATATGTTTGATATTTTGTTTTAGTTTTGTGACATTCATCGTTTTAAGAACTGTCTGAATTTAGAACTGTATGAATTTAATCCTTTGCGATCTTATATCGAGTTGGAAGACGTTGTAGTTGTTCATAATATAATTTTTCAAGTATTTGAGTTTGCACGAGATTATAATCGACGAACTATTTTTTTTTGTTGAGGGGAGGGAACCTAAACTCTTTTGAATAATAAAAAATTCTTTGGTTTGTTTCAAACAACCAATTAAAATAGAACTGAGAATGAAATATTTGATCTTCATATGTAAAAAATAGTCGAATCGTAAGGTTATTTTAATTATTACATATTATACTTATTCTGTCTTTTTATCTATTGTTGTTATATATTTTTTATTACTTTTTTTCACATCTATAAAAAATGTCTCGTTTCGAGGCACATTATATTTGTAGAATAGTCGCGTAGTTTCTCCGTGGCAAACATCTAACGGAAACACCTTCGTTTGCGATCTTTTTGCAGAACGAGAACATCACGAAGTTGAAGATCGACCACAATCCATTCGCGAAGGGTTTCCGCGAGACGGGACAGTCGCGGTTCAAACGCAAGTATCAACAGACCGATCAGCATGCTCAAGGGGGTTCCAGCCGCGAGACGAGCGACGAGGGGGGCAGCCCCTCCGGATCGTTCTCCGACTCCGAATCGACCCCGGCCTCGAGCGGACGGGGCAGCGTGAGCAGCGCGGAGAACTCGACGCAGGAGTCGGCGAAGAGACTCGCGGTCGAAAGGAATAACACGGACAGCAACGCCAGGTCAATCGTCCCGGACTCGCCGGTATCGCACGTCGTGAATCGACTGTCGAATGCCGGATCGCCGTTGAATACCGAGAACGATCACAACGAGGCGCTCCTCCACAGACCCTGGGTGGACCGACCGTCGCATAGGCAAGTGGTACCGCTGTCACCTTACAATCGGCCGCCTTCTCTGTATTACCATTCCCTGCATTACGGTAATACGTTGCCATATATGTGTACGGACAATATACAAAGCTATATGAGATTTAACGATTACGCGTTCAGTAATTATAACCATTCCATGTGGAATGCTGTCAGGGAGCACTTCAATGCTTTTCGGTACTATCCTTTATTCAGGTGTAATGAATAATAAAGCTAGAACGAACGCAACAGTGTTGACAGCTTGCTCCCCTGTACGCACCTATGGTGGCTGTGACACATGCGAACGCTGTTTTTTATTTTTAACTCGCGACTTCGTTGCAATAAATGTTTCGTGGTATGGAGAATAATACGTGCGAGTAATCGACTGAAGACTGAGGATTTTAAAATTATCATCTTATAAATGATAAAGGATAAATAATATCAAAGTTATATATATACATATTTGCGTATTTTTATATTTATTATTTTCATAATTACTTACGCGCGTAATCTTATTCTTCATTCGTGTGTTATGTACATACATATATATATATATGCACATCATATATAAACGTTTTATGAATTTTTAGCTTAAAATTAACATTTAAAAAAATCCAAATAATATGAAAACCATTTTTACATCATAAATATCTCTCATAAAATTTATAATACATTTGATATGTATGTATCAAATAATATGTCAAATAATAATAAATTTTATGAGACAAAGATAATTAGGATGCTGATTAAGCTATTTTAAAGATTCATAAACGTTTCTACATGATGCACCAAAGATTGTTGCATGAATAAATACTTTGTAAATGTCCCCTATAAATGGTTTTAATAATATGAGTTGAAGCTCATTTTACAATTTGTAGTCGTCATATTTCACGTGAAAGAATTTTTGACGTGAGTTTCCAGCGATGAAATGTTTTGCATACGCCATATGTACACATTTGTTCCTACATGTTGTTATCAATGAAAGAAATGAAAAAAGAAAGATTTATTTTAAATGAGCAGACTAACGAAATCCGAGAGTTTAGTAATTGTATATGTACGGAAAAACATCGATAAGACATTAAAAAGTAAAAAAAATTTAAGATTTAAAAATGCAAAAAAAAAAGATTCGTGATTTTACAATTACGAATAACATATAAAAATTAAATTAAATCTAAGATTTTATATAAAAATCACCGCGAAAGAATACGAATGTTCATTTTTTACATATCTTAAATCTCTAACATGAGTATTATCACAAATATATTGTAATAAAAAGTATATTTTGATGCAAACACATACACACATACACGTGACATTTTTGTCGCGTTTAATTTTACAACCCGTACTTACCTGTAAAGTGTCAACGAGGTCGAATATCTGCAAATGTTGTTGAGCTTGTTCGAGAGACGAGGCTTCACATCTTCCAAGAAGAATTCACCGTTTCGTTCGCAGAGTGAATTTGTTCTTCTAATTAATACAGTGAAAGTGGAAGAAGAAATAAGGGCGAAAAGAATGGAATCGAATGGGGTGAGAAATGAAAGCCTCTGAATGGCATACAATTATTCGATCGTCGCATATTATCTTCTTCCACTTTCTTGTTTCGATTTATTGCAACAGTTATATATATTCGTCTACGAAAGCATAACATAATTTTTCTTTCTTTAAAGCGCGAATTACCTACATCCTACATCGCGTATCGCATACATTTGTTTCTATACTTTCTATACATATATGTTTATACATATAATATATTATTTATACATACGATGAAAATTTTCATATAGTATAAATATATATAATATGTATATATGTAACATATATATATATATATATATATATATATATTTTTATATCATACATCACATATATAAATCATATTGTGTAACATAATGTATAATATAAAAAAAAAATGTATATAATGTATGTGCATGTGGGCGTGCACGCACGCTCCCGCATACGTATGTATATGTATATATATTTGTGATAACAACATTAGATTTAATATGAACAAAAATGGACATACAAGTGAACACGCAAACTCTCGAGTTCGCATATTTTGTTTGTTCATTTCTTTTCCACCGCCCGTATATGGCTGAATTTAAATATTCTCACTGCGTAAGTGTATATCGAAGGCAAGAATATGGTGCAGGGATTATTGCAAATTGAAAGTGCGACGCTTGTTTGCTGGATTCAAAGGAAAAGCAAAAAAAGATGAGGGCAAAAAGGCAAAGTGGAATTCTTGATTCTCGCATTAATTCGCTCTCTATAGACCTTCTCATCGCCATTATGAATTCTTCGATTTCTTCTCGCATCCTAGCTTTGCCATATATCTCGATGATGATAACGTAGAAGTACCTAAAAGCAAAAACATGCTTCGAACTTCAACTGCAATAATTCGTATTCGCTATATTCATTATCAACGGCTCGTTTTGTCGCGTCAAATGGTGTAATATTATCATTGTACAATTAATTACCAAAGAGATATTTCGTGATGACACAATTAGACGAGACAGTTTTTTTGATAACATTTAATACAACATTTACAATATTTCAATACTTATATAATTACAGGGCGTGATAATTAAGTTACACATAGACTGTGACGAGATAATTGAAGGCATTTCGAAAAGCGTTTTCTCGAGCATTCGATTCGCTGTATGATGTAAATGTTGTTCAGAAACGGGGACTATATTGGACGATAATATTAACAATAGATATCTTTGATCTTTTTTATATTTTTTTATGGTCTCAAACCACTTAATTGTTACATTATGTATACTTGTATCCAAAGAATTTTAGACTTACAGAACGACAAATGATCGAGTGCCTTATGCGTCGCGTCTTGTAGTAATTAGTAAAAGACCTCATAGATAAAATATTTTTATACGTAAACCTTTTTTAGCGCGTTTATATACAATTTTTAACCCTAGATATACACATTGTTTTTTTGACGACGTCGTATACACACTGGGCTGCGTTCCAAAATTTACTCGGATAATCAAAACTCTGTAGTTAGCCATATTTATTACTGTAACTTTAGTAAAAATGGACATATTTAAATTAATTTTTTTTCAATTGATAGAGAATCGATCAAGAAACAAGCCCATAATGTTTAAAAATCGATAGAATTAAGGAGTTCCAAGATATACGGGTTCAAAGAAAAAGTTAAGTTCAAAAACGCTCGAAAAAATTTCGATTTAGCACCTTTGTTTAAAAAATCATATCTCTTTTGT